GGAGAGTGAGAAGCAGGCTTCCCACCAAGCAGGGAGCCCGATGCGGGGCTTGATCCCAGGACCCTGGGATCATGACCTGAGCTGAAGGCAGACGCTTAACAACTGAGCCACCCAGGTGCCCCACTAAAATGGTTTTGTCACTGGTACTGTCACTAGGGAAATTTTCAAAGAAGTTGTAAAGAGCAGTATCAAATTAATTGTCTTGAAACAGAATTGTTTTTCTAGACTTAATAGGAGAGATCATGGCTGAAATTAAGATACTTTTTTTTTTTTTAAGATTTTATTTATTTATTTGACAGAGAGAGATACAGCGAGAGAGGGAACACAAGCAGAGAGAGTAGGAGAGGGAGAAGCAGGCTTCCCACCGAGCAGGGAGCCCGATGCGGGGCTTGATCCCAGGACTCTGGGATCATGATCTGAGCCGAAGGCAGACGCTTAATGACTGAGCCACCCAGGCGCCCCAAGACACTTTTTTTTTTAAAGATTTTATTTATTCATTTGAGACACAGAGATACAGAGAGAGAGAGAGAGAGAGCACAAGCAGGGGGAGCGGCAGGCAGAGGGAGAGGGAGAAGCAGACTCCCCACTGAGCCAAGAGCCCGACGCGGGGCTCGATCCCAGGACCCCGGGACTATGACCTGAGCCGAAGGCAGATGCTCAACCGACTGAGCCACCCAGGTGCCCCAAGATACTTTTTAAAAAAGATTTTATTTATTTATTTGAGAGAGAGAGAGAGAGCCTGAGGAGCAGGGAGGGGCAGAGCAAGAGGGAGAAGCAGACTCCCTGCTGAGCAGGGAGCCCGATGATGATGATGATGATGATGATGATGATGATGACGACGACGACGGCGATGACGATGATGCAAGGCTCGATCCCAGGGCTACAGGATCATGACCTGAGCCGAAGGAAGGCACTTAACTGACTGAGCCATCCAGGCGACCCTTAAGATTTTATTTTTTAAGTGATCTCTACACCTGATGAGGGTCTCCAACTTACAACCCTGAGATCAAGAGTCACATGCTCTTCCGACTGAGCCAGCCAGGTGCCCCCAAGAAACAACTTCTTGAGCAATATTATAAAGGAACATGTAAGGGCTTCCATCCTTAGACTTTTTTTTTTTAATTTTTTTTTTTTTAAGATTTTTATTTATTTATTTGAGACAGAGAGAATGCGAGAGAGAGAGCACATGAGAGGGGGAAGGGTCAGAGGGAGAAGCAGGCTCTCTGCCGAGCAGAGAGCCCGATGCGGGACTCGATCCAGGGACTCCAGGATCATGACCTGAGCCGAAGGCAGTTGCTTAACCAACTGAGCCACCCAGGCGCCCCATCCTTAGACATTTTTAAGAAGACAGACAATGCTCCAGCTGAAAATGTCATCCTCATCTGTGGTAGCCAGCCTCCAGGACAGCCTCTACTGATCCTTACTTCCCAGCACATGCCCTTCATTACTCTCCTGCTGAAATTCAATCAAGGCTGGCCCTGAATATGGCTGACGTGATGCGTGAGTTCCAAGATTGTGTCATAAAAGGCACTGCAGCTTCTGCTTCGGTCTTTCAGATCGATTACTTGCTCCAGAATAAGCCAGTTGCCATGCTGTGGGAATATTCAAGCTGTTCTGTGGAAAAGCCCATGTGGCCAACAGACTAAGCCAACTTGCCAGACATGGGAGGGAACCACCTTGGAAGTGGATTCTCCAGCTCCAAATAAGTCTTCAGACGACCACAGCCCGAGCCTACATCTGACTGCAACCTCATGAGACTGAAACAGAAATGCCCAACTGAACCCCACCTGAATTCCTGACTCAGAAATTGAGAAATAATACATGACTTCTATTGTTTTAAGCCACTAAGTTTGTTTTTTTTAAAGTAATCTCCAACCCCAAAGGGGGGCTCAAACTCATGATGCTTGAAATGAAGAGTTGCGTGCTCCACTGACTGAGCCAGCCAGGCTCCCCAAATACTTTCTTTTTAAAGATCTTATTTATTTATTTGAGAGAGAGAGAGAGAGAGTACATGTACATGAGCAGAGGGAGGGGCAAAGGGAGAGGGAGAAGCAGGCTTCCCGCAGAGCAGGGAGCCCGATGCGGGGCTCGATCCCAGGACCCTGAGATCATGACCTGAGCTGAAGGCAGACACTTAACCAACTGAGCCACCCAGGCACCCCCCAAATACTTTTTTTTTTAAAGATTTTATTTATTTGACAGAGAGAGAGAGAGACAGTGAGAGAGGGACTACAAGCAGGAGGAGGGGAGAGGGAGAAGCAGGCCTCCTGCTGAGCAGGGAGCCCGATGCGGGGCTCGATCCCAGGACCCTGGGATCACGACCCAAGCCGAAGGCAGACACTTCACGATGAGCCACCCAGGCGCCCCCTCAAATACTTTTTTTTAAAGTAAATTCTACCCCAACGTGGGGCTTGAACTCACCACCCCAAGATCAAAAGTCACATGCTCTATTGACTGAACCCACCTAGTGCCCTTGGTGTGTAGTTTTAGGGCTATTTGATACGCAGTAAAAGATAGCTAACATATCATCAATAACAAACATTTTTTTACTACTGTACAAAGTATCCTTCTTATAGGTTGAACCATATGATCATTCAAGATAACTTCTTGCTTTATAACTTTAATGTTTTAACAGGCTGACATGTCATTAACTCTGTATCTTTTCCTATAAAATTCTTTAAAAATTTTCTTTTATTTTTTAAAAGATTTTACTTATTTATTTAGAGAGAGAGTGGGGGGGGGGAGTCTCAAGCTGACTTTGCACTGAGCAGAGTCCCTTGCAGGGTTCAGATTCCATGATCCCAAGATCACGACCTGAGCCAAAACCGAGTTGGATGCTTAACTGACTGCGCCACCCAGGTGCGTCAGATTTTATTTATTTATTTTAGAGAGAGAGTGAGAGGGTGTGCATGTGAGCAGGGGGAGGGGCAGGGGCAGGGGGAGGGGCTTTTCCTATAAAATTCTTACATGACAAGGAGAATTAGCCAATCAAATATTTAATGAACATCCACTAAGTTCGAGGTATTATTCTAGGCGCTCTGCTGATTAAAAGGTATGATAATGCTATTGATAATAAAAACAATAGTAAAAATAATGATAGATACTACTAATACTTACTAAACATGTACTTGTCTTAGTGTTCTAAACACTGTACATATATACTCTCATTTAACCTTAACGTACATTGCCAAATGTTTTCCAGAAAGGTCATACCAAGTTACACTCCATCTGCAATGTTTAAGAACAAACTCACTGCAGATGTTTACCTACCAGCACTTAAAATTTTCAAAAAAACCTGATAGGTGAAAAATAGAAGTTTAATCTGCATTTCTATGATTACTAGATCTTAAAATGTTAAGCACATTAAAGTTCTGTCTGACATATGTTACAATGTTGGCATTGTGTTTTTCTGACATTTTTATAGTCAAGTCAATCTCTTCCTTTGTAATTTCTTCCAACTCTTTTATAATTAAAAGGCTCTTTCCTATCCCTAGATCAATTAAATTTTCACTTGCATTTGTTTTCTAGTTTGTTTAAGGTTTTGTTTTTTACCCATGTAGTTATTTTTTGTGGCAGGACATAGGAGTTTTTTTCCCCCCATAATCATGTCTCCTTCACTATTAAGTTTTTCTTTCCCCATTGATTTATGATGCCACCTTTATTATCTTAGTAATTCTTACATTACTTGGGTATGTTTATGAGCTTTATAACCCTTTTTCATTGTCTGTTGGTTTAATGTTAGTACTATGCTTTTTTTTTTTTTAGATTTATTTATTTATGAGCAAGCGGGGAGGGGGCAGAGGGAGAGAGAATCTCCAGCAGACACCCTGCTGAGCGCAGAGCCCACTGTGGGGCTTGATCTCACAACCCTGAGATCATGACCTGAGCTGAAACCAAGAATGGCTTAACCGGGACTAAGCCACCCATGTGCCCCTGTACTACCTTTTTTTTTTTGATTACTAACTTCTACTCATTCATTAAAAACCATCACATTCTCCTCCTGGAAGCCTCCCTGATTCTTCCAAAAAGATATGAATGCTGCCTCCCTTTTCACCTTCATAACATATAAAATTCTCCTTTGTATCACAGTTAACAGGGTTGATTTTATCCAATTATACTTTTGAGAGCAGGGAACAGATGTACTATATATTCATTAAAATTAGATTATAGGATTTGCATTAAAAGGTAGTGACGGCCAAACAGGTCTGGTTTGACAAAAAAATGAAAACAAACAGTTCCTTCATTTCAACAAATATCGTTGTGCTATCCATTATGAAAAGATTATAAAGGTGAGTGAACCCTAGATTCTGCCTTAGGGAGTTCGCCACTTAGGGCAAAGAGACATGTGAACATACGTGATTAAATAGTATGACTAGAGTAAAATAATCATGCGCAAGGAAGGAGAAAGGAAAAAAACTAACTGAGCAAGTAGTGGGCAGAGTCTCATAGTGGGCATACCTATGAGCTGGGTTTATGGTGGTGCTTCTTAAATGTGAAAGGAATTTGTAATTAATTTGAATGACAGAGTGCATCAATTCAGAACCTTTAACCGGAGTTACATTAATTTATCCTTCTTCGGAGAACTTTTTAAGGAAGCCTAAAGTAGTTTGGGTAGTATGGGCAAGCTGACGAGCTCTGCTTGGAAGCTGTTTCCTTAGCGCGAATCTGAGATGCCTTGCACAGGATACAGGTGCGAATAGATGCAAAGTGCGTGATTGGGTGAAAATCAGACATGGGGATAAAATATAAACCTTTACCAGTATCAGGTACTATAATCTACTTACTTGGCAGTAGTTTAAAAGCTGTGAGAACTGAGTCCTCGTGAGAGAACACAGTTCCAGCCACTAGCCTCACCGCTCAGCGCCCCGCAGGCCCAAGGCAAGCCCAAGGCAAGCACAGGCCAGCCCAGGCTAGATGTCAGAGCAAGAACTACTGACGTCATGTGAGCGTGACGTCACCAGCACTGACGCAGTCTCACAGGGAGGGGCCTCTCAGCTCACCTCAGAGCGCAGTCAGGTCTGCGGAGCAGGGGTTGACCGTCTTGTGTTCTGCCCCAAAGGTCCGAATAGTCAGCGCTGCGGGAACGGAAGAGCCGAAGCTGCTCAGGAGCTGAAGACGGGCCACTTCCCTCCTTCCTCGGCCCTTACCGGTGTCCTCTAAGGCCCAGGCGCGGTCCAGGCAGCAGCGCGCTCACGAGCCCGTCGCTTGCGGCGGTCACGCGCACGCACGCTGGTGCGCACGTTCCCTGAGAACCCGGAACTGCGAGGGAGAGCCACGTGGGTGGAGCTGGATCGCAGCTCGCATGGGGGAGTCTATCCCGCTGGCCGCCCCGGTTCCGGTGGAACAGGCGGTGCTGGAGACGTTCTTCTCTCACCTGGGTATCTTCTCTTACGACAAGGCCAAGGACAATGTGGACAAGGAACGAGAGGCCAACAAGAGCGCGGGGGGCAACTGGCTGTCGCTGCTGGCGGCCTTGGCCCACCTGGCCGCGGCCGAGAAGGTCTATCACAGCCTCACCTACCTGGGGCAAAAACTAGGTACCTCCGCCCCGCCCCCCGTGCCCTTTGAGGAGGAAGGAAAGGGGGTGTATTCCCCGATCGGCAGTGGCTTGGGTTCCCTGTCTCACTCCTACCCTCAGGCTCAACTTGGCGCTCCCAGATCTCCTCCCACCGTTCCCTTCCTCCCCTCGGCTTCCACAAACCCCGCCCACCGGCCTGTGCTGTTGATAGATTGGCCGCCGGGGTGGATGCTCTTTTTAGGGCTGTGTCTCAAACCGATGGGTGTATCCATTTTGCTCAGTGCATGGATTGGTGCCATAAATGAAAAGTTAAGCAAACTGTATGTCGTCGCTTTTCTGACAAATGACACTGTGGCCAGAGGAGCAAAACTTGGCAATACAACCTAGTTAGAATTAATGAACACTTTTGTCTGGCCTTTGAAGTTAAGGCCCCTGCGAGTTACAGATGGAGTCCTACCCCTTCTTAGGCCGTCAATAAATATTTAATGGATGAGGAAATAAATGAATACTGGACAGGAAAGGCAAGAAATATGCCTAACACTAGCAAGAGGGGACTTAAGGGGAAAATGGTAAACACTCTTATCATTCCATCTTAAATCTTGCCCCTGAAAATAAGATGCAAGAGCTGATTCAACCGATTTTCACTAGTAGAAACAATTAATGAGTAGATCAGAAGGAAATAAAATATGAGAAAGCCAAGGGCTATGCATATAAAGTATTACTACTTATAATTACCAACAATCAATATGAATCCCAGAGCTTTCGAAGTTAGTATTTTGTCCTATTTTTAGACCCTTTAATTATCAGAAGCACAGGGTCTGGTGTGAATGAAGAACACATACATGCAATAAAGAATAGAAAGGTAAAATTGAGTGCAGATTCCATTTTGATTTTTAGCCCCCAGTTTCTTTATGTTGCCTGAAGGTGGCCATGTACATACTGCCTTCAGTAAACGCCCAAAGGGCAGGGCTTTCCAAGATCTTAACTTTTGCCTTAGCTGTTCAAATAATAACTTGTTGTTTAGTACGTTGACTTACTGGCAAAATTGCTCAGATAGAATCACCTTGTGTATTTTTTCCACCCTTTTTTACAGTGGCACTTCTCACAAATTTGCAAGTGCTGTGGCAGTGTTGTTATTTCCCTTTCTATAGATTGGCAAATTGTCTATGTGCATTTTTATGGGTAGGTGAGAGGTCTCAAACCAGAATACCTGGCTCTGAACTGTCAGATTGTGTTTTTATCCAGATGATTTATAAAAAAAAAAATTGGTGTATGTATTATAATTTAAAAATACTTCGTATATACAGGTGACCCTTGAACAATAGGGGTTTGAACTGCATGGGTCCACTAATAGATGGATTTTTTCCGATAAATACAGTACAGTACAGTAAATGTATTTTCTCATCCTTCATGATTATCTTAACATTTTCTTTTCTCTAGCTTACTTTATAAGAATATAATATATAATACACATAACATATAGCATACATGTTAATCTACTGTTTATGTTATCAGTAAGGCCTCCAGTCGACAATAAGCTATTAGTGATTAAGTCTTGGGGGAGTCAAAAGTTATATTCGGATTTTTGACTGTGTTGGGGGAGGTCAGCTCCCCAACACCCCCTCCACCACCCCCTGGCATTATTCAGGGGCCAGCTGTATTTGGAAATGGGGAGGATTCTGGCTATAAAATGAAGGTGGGTAATTTTCTGGCAGTTTTAGTTGTTTCTAGATTCCCCCACCTCATAAAGAATGGTGATTGATCCCAGTGCCATGATTCTTAATTTCTTTAAGCTCATCTATGAGAATTTGATGAAACCCATGGACTTATATGGAAAATATATGTGTAATACAATTTTGCATTTAATTGGAGGTGCTTCAGTTGGATTTCCTAAAGGCTGCTGATGGACCCCAGTTTAAAAATCTGTTACTCTAGTTTAAGTTGTATGTGTCTGGTTTTAGGTAAACAGAACTGGCTGCCCTGTGTGTAAGAGCACGTGTGAGATCATCACTGTCTCTGCCTTGGGTTCTGTGCAATGGCCCTTATTATGTAAAGTGATTAGTTCTCCGTGGACCCCCAGCTTGCATGGATGAGCCTGAAGGCTGCACCTTGAAATTGATCCAGGAGCAGTTTACACTATGAAACATGCTCAGGCATGGTTCAGGCTCCCAGGTGATCTGTGACTTCTGAATGAATGTTCTGAGAATTGGCATGTTTAACTTTAATGCCTCATTAACTTATTCACATGTATAGTAAATGTAGGTTCCAGATTTTATTTTATTTTAATTTTTTTTAAAGATTTTATTTATCATTCGAGACACAGAGAGAGAGAGAGCATGAGCAGGGGGAGAGGGAGAGGGAGAAGCAGGCTCCCCGCCGACCCAGGACCCAGACGTGGGGCTCGATCCCAGGACCCAGGGATCATGACCTGAGCTGAAGGCAGACGCCCAACCATCTGAGCCACCCAGGCACCCCGTAGTTTCTAGATTTAAATTTTTTTTTTTTTTAAGATTTTTATTTATTTATTTGACACAGAGAGGCACAGTGAGAGAGGGAACACAAGCAGGGGGAGGGCCAGAGGGAGAGGGAGAAGCAGGCTTCCCACGGAGCAGGGAGCCCAATGCGGGACTCGATCCCAGGACCCTGGGACCATGACCTGAGCCGAAGGCAGACGCTCAACGACTGAGCCACCCAGGCGCCCCCAGATTTTAAATTTTAACTTTGCATCCTACAGTTTTTTGATACTGGAATGTTTGTGATATCAACATGCTTATGACTTTGTGATTTTTTTTTCTTAAAACCTGTGGAAAAATTTTTGTTGCCACTTAAGACATTCCCATGTTCTTCAAATACTTTGCTAATTAGAATGTATTTTTTTTAAAAGCAAAACCAAAAGTTTTATGTGTATTTTTAAACATTTAAAACATGGTCCAAAAAAGTGAGTCTTTTTGACCTCACTCTTGTAACTGGTGTTTTATCAGAGACCTTGGCAGTGAATCCTGATTATAGATGCACGTGTGGGCAAACACTGTAGGCAAAGGACAGACCTGACAGGGAGACTTCTGTTCCTGTATTGGCTCAGTTCTGAAAAACTTTGGGTGGGCCCCTTACCTTGGAGCTTTCTCTTTTCCTCTCAGGGGAGAATATACCTGTTTGGGGAAGGACCAGTGATAAAAATATGCCATCTCAATGCCTTTGGAGGATTTTAGGTCATACTTTCTCCCTTTTGTTTCATCACTGGAGAGTTTCCGCAACCTCTGATTGCTAGAATTTAGCATGGTAGAAAATGACTTAACTTGAGAACCAATGTTTATAAATTATCATTAACAAGAAGTTGTCGAATAAAATACTCAGACATCTTTCATATTCCTTTAATATACTTATTACTTGAAATTTTGTCATGTGAGATGGACTGTTGAAATCTTGAGAAATAATGAGGATTCAATACACAGAAACTTCTGGAAATAATTCAAAATAATCATATTTTGTAAATCCAAAAACTTGTAAAGAGGAAGATGTCTGGTGTCTCTGCTTCTTTGTTTCCCAGTAAGAAGGAAGGCCAGTCCCCACTGGATATTCCTTACCAGGGTAGTCAACAAGTAGGATTGTGCTCCTGAGAGCTTTGAGAAAAGAGACCTGTTTAAAAGAAATGCATTAGTGCTCTCTCCCTTCCTTCTAGTGTCACTTGACTAGTATGTTAGTGTCACTAAACATACTAGTGATTGATGTTTATTGATAAGCTTTTTAGGGTATTCTTTGTATTTATGTGGTGTTTCCACTCCCTTAGATAAGGGTAATCTGATGAAGAAAGGTATTCCTTTTTCACCCAGATTTAAAATTGTCACCAAGGCCACCCTGTTAACAGCAGCAGTGAGTACACAGTTGAGGTCACCTAGCTATCTGTCAAATAGGTAGTTATTCTTTTTTATAGTACATGAAGCTCCCGATTTACCATAGGGTTTTAGAAGTCCAATTAGGTAGTATTTAGAATTTTCTTACATCAGTTATAAATGGAAGGGAAAGGGATTAGTGTTGTGGAATATGCACTTTGCTCCAGGCACATTACATACAAAATGGTATTTCATTTTGCCTTCTTAGCTCTGTTACTAGTTTCATGTTAAAAACAACAACTAAGGCTCAAAGTGGCTATGTCATTGGCACACCACACAGCTTGTAAGTTCAGAAGCTGGAATTTGGAACTAAGTCGGTCAGACTTCCAGAGCTTTTAGGGGTTTTTTTTTTAGGGTTTTATTTTTAAGTAATACGTACACCCAGTGTGGGGCTTGAACTCACAACCCCGAGATGAAGAGTCGCACCCTCCACTGACTGAGCCAACCAGGCGCCCCATAGATTTTGCATGGGACTCTTGTTACCTACCTAACCTAAGAGATTTTTTTCCCTAAACGTGGACACAGAGATCTATTTATTCCATACTGTTACTTCACAAAATCTGCAAGGTTAGACTGAAGATAGGCAGGGAAGGGAGGGCAAACCCTTCAGGGTACAATCCTGGGTGGGATGTGAATGCTGGGGTCAATCCAACTGCACCACATGGTTTTCGCTGCCATTAGTAGGAGAAATGATTTGAATGCTAGTTACTTTGTTTAGGCATTATATTGAAGAAAACATTTTTAAGTAATGATAGTTTGTGGAGTAAGTAGGGTGACCAATCTTCTAGGTTTGCCCAGGGCCAGGGGGTTCCCAGGACGTGGGACTAAGTCTAGTTTTCCAAGAAGCCAGGCTTTCGGTGCCAAAACCTAGAAAGTCCTGGGTAGACTGGGACAAGGTGGTCACAGTAGTAGGAAAGGATCTAAGATTCATTTCTTAAAAGGATATTTTACAAATGCCTTGATAAATAATTTTCACTCCCAATTGATGTGTTTAGAATAGTAATAAGTTTATTCATGAAAGCATTCTGTGTATATCAACAGAAAATTTAAACTGTCATCCACCTCTGAGGTTTTTATTTATTTCTAAGAATTACTGTTTTAAACCTGCCCTGTTTCTTCTCATTCTCCTAATGTCTTGCCTGTGACCCTTTATTTAGTGGGGTGCAGAATTGCTTAAGAAAACATCTACGAAGCTGGCTCTATAATTATTAGAAATAGGGTTGATCATGTATTAATACAGAGTAAGGAAATGATGTCTATGCCCCTTGATCCTTTTTAACTGTTGAAAGGGATGTATTTGGTCTTTTTTTTTTTTTTTTTAAGTAGGGTCCCTCCCCAACATGGTTTTGAACTCATGAACCTGAGATCAAGAGTCACATGCTCTACCCACGGAGCCAGCCAGGCGCCCTGGTCTTTTTTTTTTTTTTTGCTGATTTCCTTTGGAACCCCTGTGTTACAGCAACAGTTATTTATAATTGCTTCCTGCTCTTACCCATTCACAGCGTGGTGCTTATTTTGTTATAACCTATAGTGTCAACCTTGTCAAGAGTACTAAAGATCTCTGGGTGCCTGACTGGCTCATTTGGAGGAGCGTGCGACTCTTGATCTTAGGGTCGTGAGTTCAAGCCCCATGTTGGGCGTAGAGCTTACTTTAAAAAAAAAAAAAGTACTACAGATTTCCTTTTTTTTTTTAAGACTTTATTTATTTGACACAGAGAGAGACAGCGAGGGAGGGAACACAAGCAGGGGGAGCGGGAGAGGGAGAAGCAGGCTTCCGGCTGAGCAGGGAGCCTGATGCGGGGCTCATGACCTGGGCCGAAGGCAGACGCTTAACGACTGAGCCACCCAGGCGCCCCTACAGATTTCCTTTTTTCCCCTGGGATCCCAGTAGTCTGTGTTCTTGTGTAAGGGAGATATATATATATGTGTATTTTCCATTTTCTGGTATGGCTTAAAAGATAAGATTCAAAGGAAAATGCAACTCTAATGCAGAAATAAAATTTTCTGATTTATCAGGAATAACAACAGTGTTTTCCAATTGGGTATTCTCTTTTGTTTTAAATATATGTATGGGGAAGAAGGGCTATTTAGATCCAGGCTGATATCACCATCTAGGTCAATTATCCTCTGAAAGAAATGCGAATCCTCATTGAAATGGGGTAGGGGAGAATCGATGCCTGGCTAAGGAAATCATACAGAGGTCTGCTGCTGCACTAATGACTTGCACCAGGAATTCATTTCTTATTCCTCAGTGAAATTATGAATCACAAAATATTTAAATTCCAGTCGTAGGAATCAGAGAATATGGTAGTTGATGATAACGCCCTGAGCTCGGCAGGCTCCACTCCTTTCCTTTTGGAGGCTGGGAGGTGTTTTGTCTTTCTGGTTTCTCTCCCTTACTTGTCACGTGCTTATGTCATTTGCCTCCCAGGGGGCCAGTCCTTCTTCAGCAGGAAGGATTCCATCCGAACCATCTATACGTCCCTGCACAACGAGCTGAAGAAGGTGGTGACTGGCCGCGGCGCCCTGGGCGGGACCGCCCCGCACGTGGAGGAACTGCTTTCCCACCTGTCAGAGCAGCTCTGCTTCTTCGTTCAGGCCCGCATGGAGATCGCAGACTTCTACGAGAAGATGTACGCCCTCAGCCCGCAGAAGTTCATCAACGCTGAGGAGCTCGTTGGCCTTTTGGACGCCATCCTCAAGAAATACAGCTCCAGGTGAGTGTAGGTGAGGAGGGCGGGAGGGACACACACTGCAGCCTCTCACTCCCACGCACACGGGCTCCCTCCCGCGCGCTTATGAAGAAAATCTAGGATGACGTGCCTGCGAAGGGGAGAAATCGTCACTCTACATTTTGTACGTATTAATTAAGCAGCAGGTACACAATGAGGTACCTTCTCGGGGCCTCATTAACACCACGCTGGGTGGACACTTCTCCAAGCAACAGCCAGAGACCAATGAAGTGTCCTTAAACGATGTATTATAACTGATTTTGCTGCTTCTGAAAGAGTTCACACAAGGGGAGAAGTGTATGTAAAATATATATATATATATATATATTTTTTTTTTACAAACCATTATTCAAATAAATGTCCCTTTCAAAGTAATCACCTTGGTGAGTTATCCACTTAGTCCTCAGATGTAACCATTACTTATCATGTGTTGGAAACTTCTTCATAATCACTTTCGGGGCCTGTGGCATAGTTCTGGGTTTGTTTTAAACTTTCTTAGTGGAGACAGGCATCTGTGCTTTTGAGGAGGGCATACTTAAATTTTTTTAATAGTCAAAAGGCTATTTGTAGCCAATTTAATTAAAAAAAAAAAGATGTTGATCAGCTGGAAAACTTGTATTTGAAGGAAATTGCTCCTTTTACTTGGAAAAAAAATGAGCCTGGCTATAATGTATTGCTCGCTTCCTGAGCCAAAAAACAATATGAAAGGAATTTGAGAAGCATTGCGTGTTATTGTTCAGCTGTAGAAAGGAATGAAGTATTGATACATGCTACAACATGCATGAACCTTGAATAATTATGCTGTGTGAAAGAAACCAGTCACAAAAGATCACATATAGTTATCATTCCAGTTGTAGGAAATGTCCAGAATAGGCAAAGTCATAAACACAGAACATAGATTACAAATTACAGACACAGAAAATGATTGTCAGGGTCTAGGGGGGAAGGTGAGAATGGGGAGTGACTGCTAATGGATATGGGGTTCCTTTTTGGGGGGTCATGAGACTGTTCTAAAATTAGATAGTGGTGATGGTTGCACAACTCTGACTATACTAAAACCATTGCATTCTATACCTTAAAAAAGTATACTTTATGTATATGATTTAAGTAGTAAAGCTATTATTAAAAAAAAGAAATAAAGCTGTGCAATGAACACACAAACATCCTTCCCCTGGACTCATATTATTAAAATATTGTCATGTTTGCTTTATCTCTCTCTGTATACAATTTTATCCCCCCCTCCTTGCATTGTTTGGACATCAGATGCAAACATCATGACAGTCTACCCTCAAATACTTAGATTGTATCTTCTAAGAACTATACAAAACTGTAGCATAGTTTTCTCACTCAGGAAATTTAGCACTGATTTTTTTCTATCATCAGCAGTAAGTAGTCCGTATTCAGATTTCCCCAGTTGTCTCGAAAATGTCCTCTGTGTTATTTTTTATTGTCATGTATTTTCTGTTTTTATGATATATTCTAAATTTTTGTTTTATCTATTTTAGTAGGTAATACATTAATATGGCTCAAAATTTATAAAGTATGAAAGAATACATAGTGAAAAGTGCCCGTTCTTTATCTACTTAATTCCTTTCCTAAGAGGCGATGAATGTTGTTAGCAAGTTCTTCCTATCATTCTTGAGAGATAGTCTGTACATACACATTTTAAACAAATTTTACATGTTCACAAATTTTCTGTTTGGAAATATTTTATTTCTTCCTCATTTTTTTAAATAAAATAATTTTTTGAAATCCAAAAGCAAAAATACAGTTGGAGATACGACTCTCAAAGGGAAGAGATCTCATGTGGTGATTCCCAAGTGCTAACATGAAAGTGGTTTGCTGAACCATTTGGGAAGCTTAAAAGAAAGAACCATACTTGCCCCCTGCCCCTGCCCTGCCCTGCCCTTCTTCCCCGAGAGGGTAAGATTTAGTGATTCTCGATTGGGTGCCCAGAAACCTGTATGTTTTAAAAGTTCCCTGTGATATTGAAAATAGTCTCCGTGAAAAAATTGTTTGGATAAATAAGAAAGGTGCCAACACTGGGAAAGACTAGGTATTGAACCTTAAACGGTGTGTGTATGCATGTGCGTGTGTATGTCTCGTAGGAATGATTATTACTATTTAACTATTTTCATTTTTATTTGATTAGATTTGTGATCTATCCTTTTTGCACCTTCTTTGAAACATCCCACTTCCCAGACCTTTGAGGATTTCTTTCATTTCCTGCAAAAGCCCAGCTTTCATTCTTGAAGCTTTTAGGGTACTTGGCTGTACCAGGTACTGAGTGGACACCGATGGAATCTGATGGAGCCAGGGGGGCAGTATCACCCAAGGTCAAGGTGTTTTCATCTGTCTCTATTTTCCACCCATGCTGCCTTTATCTAATTAATAGGGAATTACTGATTATAGATACATCCAACCCTAAAAATTATCTTAATTAGAAACTTTGGGTTAATTTGAACATAAATTCCTTAGTTAACAAATTCTGAAAAGTTGAAATTCTGTATAATATGTTGATTTGGGGGGAGAAGTGGAATTATTTTAGGTATAAATTAACATACTTTGCCTTTTGCCAGGATAATATCCTTTTTTCTGTAGACCTTTCTCCTCCTCTTCTTCCTCCTCCTCTTCTTCCTCTTCCTCTTCTTCTCCTTCTTCCTCTTTTCCTCTTCTTCCTCTTCTTCTTCTTCCTTTTGATTTGGCATCTGTGCTATATCAAACATTTCTTTCATGGTTCCAGTGTTTAGAGAAGTAATTCATATTTTGTATTCTATTGTATTGAAAGAGTTAATCCTTTTCCCAAAGGACCCAGTTGATCTTTCAGGAAATATTTATTTGCCCCAGTATATCCGATCCATGTCAGAATGCTTCTAAAATATTGTGTGAATCTTTCATCTTTCAAACGATGAAATGCTTTTGTATTAAAAAATTAACAAGCGTGATGTATAACGTGGAGTCTAGACCTGTGGCCCTGATGTGAGATGCAGATTCTATGTGAGTTATTGTAAGGCCCAGTCTGCTTTCATGGGAAGCATGTTTTGTTTTTGTCCTTTGGAAGCCAGTTGTGTTCAGAGTAGAACAGTATTAAAGGTTTCCTCTTTTGGCAAACTGATTACATTATTAAGCAAATGTAAATTATTGCTTACAAACCACAGTCATTGTGATGCTGCATTTCAAATTGAATAATTAACATTAATCATACAAGTTTTTATTGTGTGCCCTTAGAAGGAAGAATGTGAATTTAGCTCATACAGGATCAGGATGTCTACTATTCCTTGAATACTTTTGAGGAGACGTAGAACTTGGGTTTTGTTTTGTTTTTTTCCCCAAGGAAGCATCAATGGAACATTTTTTGATTCTGTAGAATTCATTTTGAATTTACATACCTCTTTTGTACAGTGGGCATAAAAGAAGATTCTGGGGGCGCCTGGGTGGCTCAGTCGTTAAGTGTCTGCCTTCGGCTCAGGTCATGATCCCAGGGTCCTGGGATCAAGCCCTGCATCGGGCTCCCTGCTCTGCGGGAGGCCTGCTTCTCCCTCTCCCACTCGCCCTGCTTGTGTTCCCTCTCTCGCTATCTCTCTCTCTGTCAAATAAATAAATTAAAAAAAAATCTTTAAAAAAAAAAAAGATTCTGGTTAATTTTTCTATTTCATAGTTAAAGCTGGAAGATGGGTTATAAATGCAAAATATTTACTCTCCTAAGTCAAGAGTATAATTTTAAGAAGTAATTCTTTTAAAGAACAGAGCAAGTATTTATTCGTTCCAGACAGCTTTTAAAAATCCCTCTGTTGGGGGTGCCAGGGTGGCTCAGTCAGTTAAGCATAGGACCCTTGGTTTCAGCTCAGGTTGTGATCTCACAACCGGGTTCTAAGATTGACCCTGCCCACATCAGGCTCTGCACTCAGCATGAGTCTGCTTACGACTCTTCCTCTCCCTCTGCCCCTCCCCGCTGTGTGGGGGCACATGCATACGCACTCTCTCTCTCTCAAATAAATAAATAAATCTTTAAAAAAAATTCCTCTCATGGGCAATAATATACCATTAAGTGACTTATATCCTTTAACCATGATTTTACAGATAGATTTTAAAGAACTTTTCTGTTTTTTTTTAAAGATTTTACTTTGAAGTAATCTCTACACCCAACGTGAGGCTCAAACTTACAGCTCTGAGACCAAGAGTCATACTCTCCACCGACTGAGCCAGCCAGGCACCCCAAAGGACATTTTTAAAAATTGAGTTACAGTGAAGTTTCTGTTTGCATTTTAGGGATCACAGTTTTTTGATCTGAATGCTTCAGATGACAGGGTTCTCACCAAGGGCTTAAATTTCTGGCCCCATTTTTTTTTTTTTTTTTAAGATTTTATTTATTCATTTGAGACACAGATACAGAGATTTCTGGTTTTTTTTAGGCCTTGTGCCCTTTTTCCTTCAAGAAAAGATTTGTGATGATAAGTGAAATTAACAGTTAGTTGTGTGTGTATAGTTCAACAAGGTGAATTTTCGCCCACTGAAAATTTCATAAGCAGAACCAACAATAGTGTCATTTCTATGGGACACAGTCTACTCTAGCATTCAGCTTATCTCAATCTTAACAGTGAGGGCTGAAGGCCTTCTGTGATCTTGCCCCAGCCTATCTTTTCAAATTTATCTAAGGCCCAACAAATGCTTTAAATTGTACCCAAACTCTTTGTAAAAAGGAAGAAGCTTCAAAGAGAAAATTTTGAGGATTTTAAGCAGATGCCAAAAAACAATCCATAATCTAATGTGTTCCCCATAAGTATTTGCCATTTCCTACTTTGGTTCATTATTTGTTTTGCCTAGAATGTCCTTAAACTCGGAGGGGAGGAAAAATACCTTTTCTTCTACCTTTCTAAATTCTCAACGGGGGGCCCTTTAACAAAAGACAAATTACCAAGAGAAAAACATACCAGTGTATTTAATGTAAGTTTTCCATGTCAGGGGAGCCTTCGTAAAATAAAGAAGCTGTTAAATCTGTGTTTTTATGGTAGATTTTGTTAAAAAACTAAATTCAGCTGAGTCCATTTGAAGATGTAAGAGTTGTGGGAAAATGTGCTAGGATGAAAAAGGGTCTGAGCTAAAGCTCAGGGAAGCAAAAGGCCTGTTCTTTCAGATTCCTCTCTGTGTCCCTTGTGTTTGGAGATAAGGATGCTCCCTTCCTTAGAGGTAGGGGGAAAGGCACGTCTCACTTGAGGGTTTTATGACCTGCTTCAGAGGAGGATCAGGAAGTCTTTCCTGTACATATTTCTCAAATTTATTCAACTTAGGGGGCGCCTGGGCGGGTCAATTGGTTAAGTGGCTGCCTTCGGCTCGGGTTAGGGTCCCTGGGTCCTGGGATCAAGCCCCATATGGGGCTCCTGGCTCAGAGGGGAGCCTGCTTCTCCCTCTGCCTCTCCCCCTGTTCATGCTCTCTCTCTCTGTATCTCTGTGTCTCAAATGAATAAATAAAATCTTAAACAAAACAAAACAAAAAGAATGGGGCCAGAAATTTAAGCCCTTACCTTTACACAGCTGAACCTTAGCTGCTCTTGAAGTTGCATGGCTCAATTCAAATTCTGTCTCCCTTATGGCCTGCATAATCTTTCAACCAAAAGAAATTGCTCCTTTTCTAAAATCTTATTTTATTTTGTACTTCTCATAAGAGATGTGTTTACTTCCAACTTGTATCCATTATAAGTACCTCCTACCTTGGGAAGTCTCTATAAGGCAAACCTTTGGCTAATGCATCTTTATATCTTCAATGTATTTGTATCTAAAAACTAGTAAAAAATTTATTTATTTATTTTTTAAAAGATTTTATTTATTTGACAGAGACAGAGATAGCGAGAGCAGGAACACAAGCAGGGGGAGTGGGAGAGGGAGAAGCAGGCTTCCCACCAAGCAGGGAGCCCAATGTGGGACTCGATCCCAGGACCCTGGGATCATGACCTGAGCCGAAGGCAGACGCTTAATGACTGAGCCACCCAGGCACCCCTAAAAACTAGTAAAAATTTTAAATGAGAAGAGACGATAGTTTTTTTTATTATGGTAAAGTATACATAACGTAAAATTTACCATTTTTAAGAGTATAATTCTGTGGCATTTAGTATATTCACATTGTGCTACAGATTTGTTTTTAATTGTTTTAATCTGACTTCTAACATGAATGGGACCTGGATACTTCTTTCGGAAGGAACTCCTTGATGTGGATTTGTGAAGGAGAGAGTTCTCTCTCTCTCTCTCTCTCCCCCCCCCCCCCACTCTTTCTTCTGGCTTTTTTTAGAGCAGATGTTCTCTGCAAATAGTTGTCAATTTATTCTGTATTCAGACTCTTTCAAGCTTGCTGCCATAGTTGAGGTGTGTATTTTTGGATTACAACAATTTAACAGATCCCCCTATAGTGTGAGTTGTAAATGGGTATGAGGCACAGAGCAGAATGGAAATGGGGAAATGATACATCATAATGCTAATTGCAAAGTCTTGGCAGAATAACATTAACATGAATTTTTAGCTCTTTTTAAGGATGAAAAATAGCTTCGACATTCACATTCATCCTAATAAATGTTGAACATTTAAACACTTTTAGTATATGTTTATGGAAGAGCTTGCTCAGAATTCTTTCTGAAGATTTGTACAGAGAATTCATGTTCTTTCAAGGAGAATGTTGGATATAAATGATGATTTCCAATGAAGCAGAAAAATAACTTAGAGTATTGTTATTTGTGGTAGAATTTTCTTCAATCTTATACCGTTTTCCTGTTATTGAAAGTCTTACTTGGGGCGCCTGGGTGGCTCAGTTGGTTAAACGACTGCCTTCGGCTCAGGTCATGATCCTGGAGTCCCTGGATCGAGTCCTGCATCGGGCTCCCTGCTCGGCAGGGAGTCTGCTTCTCCCTCTCCCACTCCCCCCTCTTGTGCTCTCTCTCTCTCTCACTCTCTCTCTCAAAAAAAAAAAAAAAAATCTTAAAAAAAAAAAAAAGAAAGTCTTACTGTGTTCCAAGTTCCTTGGCAAATTTTCTTGATACCCATCATTATAGAATCTTGTGATGCTTTGTAGTCATTAAGTGTCAAAGAGCCTAAAGGCTAAGGTGGTAGGAGCATTTCTTACAAGTCACAGATTGTGAACCATGCTATAGTGAAGTTGTGTGTGTGCATGTGTATTAGACTTTCTTAATGTTTATTTCAAAGCATGTAATGTCTGAAGAGTCCAAATTAATTAATTAAGCGCATGAGCTAGAGGATTTGAAATCTAGTTTATCTTTCTGATTCTTTTTTTTAAGATTTATTTATTTTAGAGAGACAGTGCGAGACAGCAAGTAGAGGGAGGTGTAGAGGGAGAGAATCTTCAAGCAGACTCCCTGCCGAGCACGAAGTCTGGTGTGAGGCTCCATGTCACGACCCTGAGAGCGTGACCTGAGCCGAAATCAAGAGGTGGACACTTAACTGACTGAGCCACCCAGGCACCCCTATCTTTCTGATTCTTTGAATGTATTATTAGACTGAGACCCTCCACCCATGTTTTAGCTTCCCTCTCTTGAAGGATATTGAAGGTAAAATGCTGGTAATAGAAAAAAAATGTGTGGTCATGTGAGTAACTATATCCTTATCACATGATAATGAGTTTCTATCTTACAGTATCTAACCTAGTATGGGCTCTCTAATTAGTGTTTAATAATCCCTCTAATTAATGTTTAAATGGATTTTTTAACTCCAGCTATATTTGTGATGGTTTTTTTTCTTAACTTTTTCATTGATAACCAGCATTTTCCGCTTCAGCGGGGGCCAAAACAGCCATATGAGAAGATTCTGTCTTGTGAAACAAGTAATTTACATGGATTCAGACCTGTAAATCAAATCCTGTGGTGCTACATAGTATGGAGTTACTATGGGGCATAAGATATGATCAGTAAATGCTAGATCTTGCCCACATATTCAAAATAGGGTCACTTGCAGATGCTTCGGGTCTTTGGGAAGAGTATAAGGGCCTGGTATTGGCTCCTTGAGAAGGAGGGTGCACAGGCCAGGCAGACACTCAAACTCCCCGGGCATTTCTCACAAGAAGCAGCAGCCTAGGCAAGAAAGCTCTAAGTGGTCCAGACAGGGAGGACTCTCCTTAGCCATTGTTACAGAATTTCATTTCGATCACAAACAACAGAATCAATGAGGCAGAAAGTAGGATTCAAATCTTAACATAGTTGGTTGCCATGTTTCCTGAATCTCTCCTGAATCTCTAGTATGTGCCATATGTTCTAGAGATAAAGGAGCGAAGGGAATAGGCAGCTTTTACTTTTCCTCAGGGAGGAGCTCAAAGCAAAGGTGACCATATGTCCCAGTTTGTCGGACAAATTATGTGATGAAGCTACTCAAGTGGAAGACAGGTATTAAGAAACTAGAGGATACGATTGGGGTCACCTGACTTAGTCTGGAGGCAAACAGAGAAGACATCTCTAAGGAAATGACTCTGAAGGGGAGACTTGAAACATCAGAAACAACTTGCTCTCGCTTGCCTCAGGGTCTCTGCACTTGGTCTTTTCCCCCCTCTCCCTGGAAGGGAGGCACTCCCACATCCGTTCCCCTCCTGCTACCCAATATTACTGCTACCAGCGAATTAGAAAAGATGTTTTACAAATAGCAGGTAGCAATCCATGAGTCATAGAGTTAATTTAGTGAGTAGTAATCCAATTTAAAACATAAATGTTGAAATGTTAGATTTTTGTTATTTAGCTCCCATTTTGTTTTTTAATTGTGATTAAATATGCAGAAAATTTGGGAGCTGGGATTGAATAAAGGCTTGCCTTATGGAGTTACTATGGAGTTACCATAATACTTTGTGGAGTTACTATGAACGATAAATAAGTTTACGGGTGTTACATACACATTTAAGAGATGTTTTAGTGACTTTTTTTTTTTTTTTTTACCTCTGCCTCTTTAGGAGCACATCTTGAAAAAAAGATGCCTTGTTTGGTTGATTATGTTAGTCATACAATTCCCCAAATAAATAAAATAGGCTCGGAAAAAAGTACAGCTAATTTAATTTCTTTGTATTTGAAAAGAAGTTAGCCGCTACTCTCATTTTTTGTTTAAATGTCAGGCGGTTTCCATAGGAGGATATGATGCTGATATAATTCTGAGATGGTGAAGTTATGTCAGAACAACTTTTTATTTATTTTTAAGTGTATTTTAATTTTAAATAAATAAATAATTTATTAATTAATACTCCACACTGGGCATGGGGCCTACTATGGGGCTTGAGCTTATGACCCTGAGATCAAGAGCTGACCTGAGATCAAGAGTCGGACACTTAACTGACTGAGCCACCCAGACGCTGCAGAACAACTTTATAAATGAATCGACATGGAGCCCTTCAGTCTTTCTTTTCCCTGCCCCCAACGTAGTATTATTCGTCTGGCCACAGTGTGCTGTTTTGAGGGTAGGAAATGTCCACGTGGAGTAACATTTCCACTTATTTCTATTAATTTCCCTTCCCCTCTAGATTTCACCACCCCATCCTCAGCCCTTTGGAAAGCAGTTTCCAGCTGGAAGTGGACGTCCTGAGTCATCTCCTGAAGGCCCAGGCTCAGGTCTCAGAGTGGAAGTTCCTCCCGTCTCTGGTGAACTTGCACAGTGCTCACACCAAGCTGCAGACTTGGGGCCAGATCTTTGAAAAGCAGCGGGAGACCAAGAAACATCTGTTTGGAGGGCAGTCTCAGAAGGCCGTTCAGCCCCCACATCTTTTCCTCTGGCTGATGAAACTCAAAAACATGCTTCTTGCCAAGTTTAGCTTTTACTTTCACGAGGCACTGAGCCGACAAACGACTGCTTCAGAAATGAAAACGCTGACTGCGAAAGCCAACCCAGACTTTTTTGGAAAGATTTCCAGCTTCATCAGGAAGTATGATGCTGCCAATGTGTCCTTAATCTTTGACAACCGAGGTTCTGAGAGCTTTCAGGGTCACGGCTATCACCACCCCCATTCCTACAGAGAGGCCCCTAAGGGAGTGGACCAGTATCCAGCCGTGGTGTCTCTGCCCAGCGACAGGCCCGTCATGCACTGGCCCAATGTCATCATGATCATGACAGACCGCATGTCCGAACTGAACAGCTTGGAAAAGGTGGTCCACTTCTATGATGACAAAGTTCAGAGCACCTACTTCCTAACCCGCCCGGAACCTCATTTTACCATTGTTGTCATTTTTGAATCAAAGAAATCTGAAAGAGACTCCCACTTTATTTCCTTCCTCAATGAGCTCTCACTTGCCCTTAAGAACCCCAAAGTTTTTGCGAGTCTGAAGCCTGGCGCCAAAGGCTAGCAGGTGGTTTGTGTGAAAGGTTTGCAAGACTGGGAAGTTTGTTCCTAATTGCTCTAATGATCTGCTGTGGTCTGTGATTAGAGTTTCCATCCATTCATGCTTCTTTCAGAGCTAAATTAAAGACAAATCCTCCCTAATTGTGTCACACACTTTATAAGCAATTAAGGCCAATTGAATTAAGTATCCAAAGAGTAATCTAGGAAGTGATCATGGCTACTGGGTCTCTCCATGGTACAGCAGAGTACCTGCAGTATTTTCTCCTATTTTCCTGTGTTTCATGTAGACTGAATATTTATTGGCCTTTGGTTGTTCTTTCCACCTGTTTTATATTGTTCTAAACTTTGTTTTAATGCAATTCCAAATGCCTTCTCTTTTCCCCTCCTTCCAGGACCAGTAAATGGGATAAGATATTAAATGGCCTTTTCAGAATCAAGGACTGTATGTTTTTTATCTCATAAATTAGCAAATTAACATGAAATTAGTTTTATGATTCTCATCAACAAATTGATATTTTGGATGGGTTCTTTGGGTGTAGGTGTAGGTGATCTACACACCTAACTGCATTTGTGTTTACTGTTACAAAGTATGAATTTTTCACTCTGTTTGAAAGTTAGTATGAGCCATAATGTGGGGTTTCTTCACTCGTTGGCATATTATCTACTTGGCTTTCTGTTTATCACCTTTCTGCTGAGAGGTATGTTCACGTTTGGCTCCACTCCCTGCTTATTCTTAGGCTGCAAAAGCATGTAGTCTTCGTTTTTCAGCCACTTTTAGACATTCGTGTGACTTAGCCTGCTTTTATAATATCAAAATGTTGGTCTCAATACATTGTACTTGCTAAAAATCAATTGTGCATTCAAAAGACCTCTTCATAGTTGAGTAATCAGATCAGTACTTAATTTAAGCACATCTGAACTTGGGTTTCAGGACTGCCTCCTCCAGATTATTCTTAGAAGCAGTGATCCCTCATAACACATGCTGCCTTTTCCTTCAGTAGGTGTTCATGGGGAAGTAGATGGACCCGTGAAGGCCTGATGGGCTGTGAACTTCACTTCTAGGTTATTGATTCAGAATAAAAATAAGCCACAAAGAATCATTGCGTTGTTACTATTTGATAGTTCCTTCAACGCCTGGATGCTTGGTCTGGTTTCTCATGATTGCACAGAGCCAGGGTTTTCCTGGGCTGCCCCAACAGGTGAGCTGGCCGTGGGCAGAGTTGCTCCCAGCCTGTGCCCAGAGGCCTGCCCACCTCAGGCAGGACTACGTGCTGGGAGGAACTAGTGGCCTATTTTCTATTTCTTTTCTTTCTTTCTTTATTAAAACAAAAGTCACCTATGTAAAAAGCCAGTTTGCTTTAAATAGAAAGTAGTGATTTACTTCTGCATTTTATTCACTCAGGTTCTATAAAAATCTGAACATTGAACTTATATAAAACATTGAAAACAATTAGAACTAAAAAGTCAAATCATTTTTCTTCCCTTTTGTGTTTTGCCAAGAAGCTAAAAAATATTTCTTGGTGTTCATGGATTATTTTTTTTCCTAGATAAAACCACCATTAGCCTTAATGATGTGGTCTCCCATGTACCTAAAAGAAATATGCTTCAGTGGAACATGGAAGAAGAGTGTAAATAAAGCTTATATATAATACTTATTTTTTAATTTTTTTTTTAAGATTTTATTTATTTATTTGAGAGAGAATGAGAGACAGACAGCAGGAGAGGGAGGAGGGTCAGAGGGAGAAGCAGACTCCCTGCTGAGCTGGGAGCCTGATGTGGGACTCTATCCCGGGACTCCAGGATCATGACCTGAGCCGAAAGCAGTCGCTTAACCAACTGAGCCACCCAGGCGCCCGCTTATATATAATATTTAAATAACCCAGTCCTTGTCTAGAACATATTTTAAATGTATATTTATTTTTGAACATATTTTGGTTCAAGCCAAGAAACAAAATGATTCTACTCTGAGATTTGTCCTTCAGTAATGAAATGATCTGTAAAGTCTGTGTTTTGCTAATTGGAAGAGTAAATCTGCATATTTTCTGCAGACTGTTTACTTTGAAATTGTTTCTAAACCACAGCTTGATCAGTTTTTATGTGTAACCAGGAGTGTGGTCAACACTTACTGAGTTTGCCAACAAGTCCATGAAGGAGTGTTCACTTGAGGATGCTGTTTGGACTCAGGGTGAACGTTCACAGCTCTGTCCTCTTGGGTCCAACCTGGTATCTGACGACATCATTTTAGGGAGTGTGTGAAAATACAGTCGTCCCCCCTTATCTGCAGTTTTGCTTACCTCGGTTTCAGTTATCCGCGGTCACCACAGTCTGGAAGCTGAAAGCCGGGGCTCCTCCTCACGAATCACCAGGAGGTCAGTTGTAGCCTCTTGCTACATTACAATGCCTGTGTCATTCCTGTCACTTCATCTTGCTGTGTCAGCACTGGATCATCTCCCGTCATCCCAGGAAGGGTGAGTACTGTGCAAGAAGAGATTTTGAGAGAGAGACACCACATTCACATACCTCGGATTACAGTATAGTGTTACAATTGTTCTGATTTATTATTAGTTACTGTTAATTTCTTATTGTGCCTAATTTATAAATGACACTTTATCATAAGTATGTGTGTATAGGAAAAATCATAGTATATACAGAGCTCGGTACTATGCAGTTTCAGGCACCCGTTGGTTGTCTTGAGCATACTCCTTGTGGGTAAAGGGGAGACTAGCTGAATTCTGAACTGAGGAGCCAATACCCTTTATATTATTTCTTTGTACATTTGGACATCTTATAAAAAATGTACTTACAAGAAAGAAAATAGTTGGTAACTCGCTGCACTCCTGTAGAGCCACTCATGGCATCGTTAGAATACGTCCACCCTTTGATCTAGCAGCAAACTTCCCTTTTTTTTGGCTTGTCAGCCTCTGAGCTTGACTTTCTTACCTGTAAAATGGGGATAAGGAAATGTGGGCTGCTTTTTTCAAAGGATATGTAAGAATGGAATGACATCGTGCATGTAAAAAAGGCTTTGCAAGCTTATTTGGGTTTGAAAACTATATAAATAAAAGATGGACCCTTCTTTCCTTAAACTTAACACCTCTCCTGTTATCGTCTTTCTCTTCAGATCTGGGGCATACATGTGCTTGCTTAGTCACTATGTTTGAACAGTACTTAAAGAACTAGTTTAGAAGAGGAGGCAGATAAATGCCTAACCCACTCACCCTCCCTTCCCTCTCTCCTTATTTTAGAATCCTTGTGGTTCTTTGTTCCTAAATTTTTATGGTTGGTTGATAGCATCACTTCAGTTCTATATTCTTACTGATTTTTTTCTTTTTTCTTTTGGGGGGGTTCCGGTTGCTCTTTTAATTGCCGAGTGAGATGTGTTAAAATCTCTGTGACTGTAGGTGTCTTCCTTTATTTCTGTCAGTTTTTTGCATTTTGTCCTTTAAAGCCGTTTTCTTAGGCCCATAGACATTTTTAATGTTTCTTTCTCAGATATCAGCCATGTTATCATGATGAAGTTTCCTGCTTTATCTCCATTACTACTCCTTGCTTCGAAGTGCATTTTGCCTGTTTTCTTATGACCCAGCTTGCTTATGCTTACAGTTCAAATGGTATGTCTTTCCTATCCTCTCACTATTTGTATCTTTATTTTTAAAGTGTCTATGGTAAGAACTAGAGAGAGAAGACTGATTAAAAAGAGCAACAACCACCTCTGTGCGCTGCAATCTGACCATCTCTGCCTTCTGATTGAAGTGTTGAGTTCATTTCATTTCATACCTGTGAAGTTTCTACAATCAGAACTTTGCTGATGGTATCCTTTAGCCATCACTGAACATACTTTTCTATCTTTTTTTTCCTTTTATATTGGAAGTTAGATTAAGAGGTTTGATCAGATTTCTTTCCTTATTCTTTTTTCTTTTTCTTTTTTTTTTTTGGAGTGACTATTGTGTATTTTATTGGGAGGCAGCTAATATCTGGCATTACCAGCCTGGTGCCCCCTAACTCATTATTTTAAAAACTGGCAAGTGGGGTGCCTGGCTGGCTCAGTCAGTGGAGCATGTGACTCTTGATCTCAGGGTTGTGAGTTCAAGCCCTACATTGGGCGTAGAGCTTACTTAAAACAAATTAAATCTTTAAAAAATGATAAAATAATGAGTTGTTTAGTATCTTCTAGAGGTACTAGGGAGTTTTTAGAGAAATATATAAGAATATATGAGGATTTCTGCCTTCTGCCTCTTAAGTTTAACCCCAAATTTGAAATAAGGCAGCCATTTTTCCCCTTATTACAAGACACTTTAATGTAAATGTTATAATCTTCCTTTATTTCTTCCTCATGGTTCATTTTCTTCTCTCTTAATTACTATTGATTATTTTCCTCTGATTTTCTCCTTCCTCCTTCCCTTAGTTTTTAATATCTTCCTCACCAATTCCACTTAGTCACTTTTCCCCATGCCTCAGGGCGCCAGGACATAACCCCAGGGGTCTCTGACCCAGTTTTGAAAAGCCATACTCGAGGGGCGCCTGGGTGGCTCAGTCATTAAGCATCTGCCTTCCGCTCAGGTCATGATCCCAGGGTCCTGGGATCAAGCCCCGCATCGGGCTCCCTGCTCCACGGGAAGCCTGCTTCTCCCTCTCCCTCTCCCCCTGCTTGTGTTCCTTCTCTCACTGTGTCTCTGTCAAATAAATAAATAAAATCTTAAAAAAAAAAAAGAAAAGAAAAAAGAAAAGAAAAGCCATACTTGAACGTATTCATCTCGATTGTTTTTACAACTAGTTAGCCTTTTTCAGGCAGTGAGGAAGGAACACGTAGAGGGGAAATATCCAGGACTGACGCCAACGGGTGCCCGCAGTTAAGCCCAGCCACTTCGTGAGCACGCAAGACACCGGCCATCTACAGCCAAGGAGTGCTGTGTGTATCTAGTAGCTTACGTGGCATTTTTTCATTTTTGGTGTGACAACATGCGGCAGGGCAGGACACCCCTTGACCGCCAGAGCCATCCCGGTCTCGGGCACTCCAGGCTAGGCCATTGGTAGGGCGGCCCCTAAAGCAACACCAGAGGGTCCGCACGGCCGCTTTCTAGCACCCAACCCTCGTTCACGTAACAACCGTGAAGCATCAGCTCTGCTGAGGACTGCGGTGCAGCAGTCGGCCCGACCGCGCGGGGCCTGCGAGGCTCGGCCGGCAGGAAGGGGGGCCGGCCCCAGCGCCCCCCACAGGCCAGGAGCCGGGGCACTCAAGCGGGAAGGCGGTGAACAGTCTTCGAACCGGTTTTACTTGCGTGCCTTCCTACCAGTTTTGAAAAACATGACACTTTGATGGATTTCTTTAAAAAAAATCTGGAATCATCCTCATTATATATATGTAAATAGTCTCAAAAGAGTCATTTTATCATGTATCGTAGATATTGACATTTAAAATGAAAATGTTAATGGTTCTTTTAAATGTATCCAGTGAAATCTTGGTACAAAGAAACTTGATAGCAACCATTTTCCATATTTAAAAATCTCTTAACAAGCTTTGTGATACTCTATCACTCTTTTTGTTCCTTGAACTCCATTCTACCTCTCCCATAGAATTTTATCCTAATACGGATTTTATTTTCTTAAAAAGTATTATTGATCACCCTATGAAATACTAGCTCCGCATATTCCACATATAAATATTCTTTCTGTTACCATGGGGCTCTAAGAGTTTAATGAGCAAATGACATATATATTAGAAACTTTATTTGAACATTGATCTGAACTATGTCTTTCAATGAAATGAGTATGTGTTTATGATGACCTGGTTAAAGAAACTGATTTTCTAAATGTTCCTTTGTTTGGTGGGCAGAGATTTTGATATCCTACAGTAATGCTGCGCGTTGCAACTGTGCAAGGTCTGCGACTTGACGTTTCACGGGTGCAAGCAGAAGCTGGGCGGCAGTTAGTCACAGCAGAACAATAGCCAGAATGTGACCATGTTTGCATGTTCCTGAGCCCCAGTTCTCACAGGGTCAGTGTGGAGGGGCCCAGATGGATGCCTGCTCAGGCAATAGGTTGCATTTCAGGAGAAGAATTCTGGTCTTAGGAAACCCAAATCTTTTTTTTTTTTTTTTAAGATTTTATTTATTTATTTGACAGAGAGAGACACAGCGAGAGAGGGAACACAAGCAGGGGGAGTGGGAGAGGGAGAAGCAGGCTCCCAGCTGAGCAGGGAGCCCGATGCGGGGCTGGATCCCAGGACCCTGGGATCATGACCTGAGCCGAAGGCAGACGCTTAACGACTGAGCCACCCAGGCGCCTCAGGAAACCCAAATCTTTTATAGGGGTCAGTAAGCATGCCTTCCATTGGCTCGAGTGAAACATTATTATCCTGGACAGTTAGCGTATTAGTTTCCTAGGGCCACCATAACAACATCCCACTAATTGGGTGGCATAAAATGACAGAAACTCATTGTCTCTCAGGTCTGAGGTCTAAAAGTGTGAAATCAAGGTGCTGGCAGAGCTATCTTCCCTCTGAAACCTGTAGGGGAATCTCTTGCCTTCCTAGTCTCGAGTGGTTTGCTGGCCATTTTGTTGTTCCTTGGCTTACAACTACATAACTCCAGTTTCTGCTTTGTCATCACATAGTGTACCCTCTATCTCTGTCTTCACATGGCAGTCTGCTTATAAGGACACCAGTCATATTGGACTAGGGGCCCACCCTACTCCAGTATGACCTTATCTTAACTAAGTATATCTGCAACGACAATATTTCCAAATAAAGGCACATGCTGAGGTACTGGGAATTAGGACTTCCACATCTTTTGGTGGGGAGGAGACAAAATTCAACCTAAAACAGTAACCATGTCTGCATTTTGGTCTCAAGGATGCTTACAAGGATATAAACATCCCTGAAAGTCCGAATTAAGGACAGTTAGTGCCTCACGCCCAAGACCTGCAGAAACACGAAAAACACATGGAAAGCTGACTCCAAATGTAAACTTATGGATGAGAGGTGAGTTGGTTTTTATATGGGAGAAGAGCAGTTACTGAAGAAGACAGAAGTAGCTTAACCTACCAAAGGCTCCTTCAGAGACCCATTTGGGAAAGAGTTCATCCATATGGAAGTTGAGGACCTGAAATTGATGTCCTAATGATGACCCCTATTCTTGCATATCTTGAGAAACAGTCACTACTACACCCCAGGTAGTAGAAACCCAGTCCAAAGATCACTATTATAAGAAATCTGGAGTAGCGCCAGCGTGGCTCAGTCCGTTAAACGCTGACTCTTGATTTCAGCTCAGGTCATGATCTCAGGGTTGTGGGATCTAGCCCCGTATTAGGCTCTCTCTGCTTGAGATTCTCTCCCTCACCCCACTAGCAAGGGGTGCTCTCTGTCTCTAAAATAAATCTCTAAAAAAGAGAGAGATTTGGAGGTGTACCTGGCCTGCCAGATCCAGTATAGCTTGAAGCATTCTTGGTGTTACAACGTCCCTTCCATTTTCTTGAAC